TGTCACCTACCACACCAAGTTTCAAGGGGAGAGTGCCCTTGTTCTTTATCAAAGAGATGGAAGTATTGTTCCTTTCGGAAGTTCATTGGTTAGGAAACGAAAACCACGGCCAAAAGTTGATGTTGATGATGAGACTGATAGGGTATGGAAGCTTTTGCTGCAAGATATAAACAGTGAAGGCGTCGATGGAACAGATGAAGACAAGGCAAAATGGTGGGAAGAAGAACGTAGAGTGTTTAATAGTAGAGCAGACTCATTTATTGCGCGAATGCGTCTTGTCCAAGGTATTTGTACAATGTCTTCAAGCCTTCGTTGTGGCTAAGTTCAAAATGATAGCTAGGTTCCCTTCATCTGAAATATAGCTAGAAAAAGGTGTGGAGTTTAAATATGAAGATGGCTTGCCCCCCACCCCCCAAACCCCCCCCAAAAAAAAGGAGGATAGAGGATATGGATCTAATACTTTACAGAATCTCACCACATACCAACTTTGACACCAGCTAAGTGAACTCAGAACAAATTCAAACTTACAAAACGCATGCGCTTGCAACAGCTCAAGCAAGAAACCAGAATCCAACCTGACATGCATATCAACACGTGTATGCGCTAAAGAGGAAGTAGGTTAAGGATGAAGAGATCAGTCCTACGAGAATATCTTCAATCTGTAACGACACTGCATCCATAAACATCACATTCAATCAGCAAACAGCCATGCTAATATCTTCAATCTGCGACTCACCATGTGGTCATAGTCTCATAGAAACTATTGAAAAGTGAGGCAGAAACTAAATGCTGACCTTGTACACCTATTATCAATCTTAAACACCAAGATTCCATGTACCCTTGCTATTTTTTCCCCTTGGAATACTTTAGGAGTTTAAAACATGCCATGCCATATTAAAGAAAAAAGATGTCAGTCACATGTTTTTATCCATTGTAATAACCATAACTACATATTATTTATCTTTTTCTTTTTGTTTTTCTGGGTGAGTCAGGAGACAGGCGCTTCTCACCTTGGAAGGGATCTGTTGTGGACTCCGTAGTTGGAGTATTTCTTACACAGAATGTTTCAGATCACCTTTCCAGGTAGCTGAAACAATAAAAAATTCTGTAATTTTTGGGTTTTTTTCTGTCCTCCAGCAAATTTCTAAAGTTCAAAGATGGAGTACAACATATTACTTTGTCCACCTTTCCCCAAAATACTTACTTTGTCCGCTTTACAGTTCTGCATTCATGTCACTCGCTGCTCACTTTCCTCTGAAGACAAAGAGCAGTACTCAGAAGCATGAAGGGAGAACAGCTATCATAATTGAAGAACCTGAAGCGTGTGCAACAGATCCCATTGTTTCTATCAGATGGCATGAAGATCAAGAAAATCAGTCAACTCGATGTCAGGATTCCTGGAGAGTCCATAATACATATTCAAATGAAGAAAAAACAGCTGTCAGCAGCTCTGAATCAAGTGAAAATAGCACACATTGCATAAAGTCAGCAGAACATTCTGTAATTCTGCAATCAGATTCTTCTAGAGAAGGTTCAGATCTGTATCATGAATCAACACTTATGGGTTTCAGAGATAAAAAAGAATTGAACGATTTGCCTTCTTCTCCGAGTTCTGTAGTTTCTTCTGAGAACTCTGCGGTTATTCAAACTTCAGAAAGAACTGACACAAGCAGCTTTTGCAGCTCCACTTCTTTTTTGAAGCTAT